AGCATGCAGAGAAGGAAATGCCTCAAACTCCTATATATTCCAGGAGCCAGCTGTACCCTCTGCCATTCACATCTCTCTATACAAGAAGCCCCTTTTACATTCTCTTAGCAATTTGGTCGAGCCTGCATGACACATGGGAAGCATACCTGTGCCTCTGCTGGCTCCCAAGTGGTAGCAGCGGCACATTTTCATATAATCAGACATTACAGCTGTAAAAAAACCCCACTTCTCTGATCCTCTGCATTTTGCAAAGCTATTTTCAGGACCTCTAAACTGGGGACTCTCTCTACTTTGTCACTCAGCCTGAGCAAGACCAATCGCTGAATTAATTTTATCCCTAAATCCCCTCATTTATCTCCTACACTAGCAATTCTTGAAGTAAAATCATCAGTTTTCCCTCCCTTAGTTAAGGAACAATCCTTGTTTTGGGGTGAGCTCTGGCTGTATGGTGAGCCAAAAATCTTCCTTGAATTATACTTCTAATAAACCCAGTGGTGTGAATCAAGGCAGAATGTAACCCATTACTTTGTTTATTCTTTTGTTCCCTTTCCCTTGATAACAGAAACTGGACATCTTTCTGCCCTTGTCCATCCTTTCTTTATGAGATTTTCCCAAGTTTGCGTTTCTCCTCCAGTACGTATTCTTCTACCGTTTCTCAATGGCTTTGGGGAGAAACAAATTAGAGACGAGTAAATATCAAAGAAAACAGATTTTGAAAAGAGACATTTCTTTTGATTGTGGAGCTATAGGAAAAAGTCCACTCCACTCCTTTGCCCTGAGGAATTCTCTAAAAGTCATAAAATGAATGGAGTAAGAAAATGATTTGGAGGTGAGTGGGGTGAGTGAATACTGAAAGCCCTTCTCTGGCAGTGTCTCAATGTACAGCTTATGCTTCTCTTTTTATTTCCAGTGTATTTATCTCCATAAGTGGCTTCGAAGGGAGAGCTTTAGAAATAAGGTTCATTGTAGGAAGAGAGGGCAACAGGATGACAACACAGGCAGTTAAGCAGAAGGGGAGTGCTGGGAACCTTGTAACTTGTGCTTAGGCTTTCTGATGTCATTTGTTCTAATAGGTGTATTTTCAAGCCTCCTTCCAATGATCCCCATTTTCAAATTAATTTTGATACACTGAAAAAATTAAAAATAAAGCACAGGAAATGCTCACAAGACAAGGCACAATTTCAAATCTGAGTCCTCACTATCTACATAGATACAGCTCACCACCATACAAGTGGCAGAACCTGGAGGAACCATCTGGCCTCAGGAAGTCCGAATGCCTTCCAGAGCTGCTGAGTGTGCTACTGCTCCTACTCCTCCCCATAAGGCTCGTGCATAATGGGAGTGAAGATAGCCTCTTTCTTCTCCTCCCTCCCCATGTCTCAAGGAGATCAGAGGTAGAGCAGCCCCAGGCCGTCCCTCAACATAGAAGCTGCAGTTCTGTTGGGCCCCTAGGCAACTTGCCAGAGCACAGAAGGACCACTTTAGTCCTCCACCCCTTGTTTCAAATCAGACTGCACTCTCTGCAGGGCAAAAGCTGATTCTTTCCACATGTTTGTAAGGTGCTGAGGCACAGCAGGCCCTATTCCTGGTTGGTCTTTTGGAAGTTATCAACACTACAAATTATACAGAAAAAACCCCATCCTTGTTGCCCATTGTAGCAGGGCACAGGTTGTCCCTCCCACTTTAAGAGGCTTGAGCAGGCTGTGGAGTGGCCGGCGGGTGCGGTTAGACCTACTTAGGTGGTCCCATGACCACAAGAGGGCCTCTGCATTGGAGGAGAGCTGGCCAGCCTCAGTATAAGCCCAAGCCCTAGGAGCTGAGTGGGGAGTTGCTGCAGGGAGCCAAAAGATGAACATCACTCAGCCAGAGATCTGCTGCTCCCAAAACACCTGGAGGTTCAGGGTAGGAACTATGGAGATGGAGGAGGTTCCTGGTCCTGGGGAATGACCTAAAACTACACCCTCCTGGGGTTGGATGGTACAGTGGGGCTGCCTGTGGTGAGACAGTCTCCAGGAAATGCCACATTTGTGCCTCCCCAGTGAAAGGTGAGGATGGGGCACTGTGTGGTGCTGAAGCCATGTAGTGATGCCATCTACAAGGCATGGCACATGGTGTAGGGGTGGTACAGAGCCATGTATTACGCCCTTGGCATTGAGCATTAAATGGGCAGCCTCCCACCTAGGAACATCTATTTAACTTGGTTACAAAGGCACACAAGTTAGGTGGGCGGGCCAGCGGTTGGGCTAGCCATGGAGACGGCCCCCTGTCACACCTGTCTACAGTGCTAACAGGCACTCTATCAACCAAATGAATCAGTAAATATTGCATAAGCCACTCCTGCAGCAACCTCCCTTCTGCCATATTTAATTTTTAGTAAGCAACACTGAATTGTTTGACTTGAGCTGTGACTACAGGCATTTACAGCCAGGTGCAACAGAAGCTGATAAACTTACCTCACATCATCAGCAAGGAAACAGAAATTCATATTCTAAATGCATTTGCTTTGCTAACTGAGCAGTCTGACCCTAAAATATTTGAATGTAGGACAGAGATATATTGTCACTTATGCTTGTTTTACGTAGGTGTGACTCTTTTTTTATACTGATGGAGCAGAATCAGGCCCTAGCCTCTGTGGATGAGGGTCTGATGATTTTAGCACTGGCCCTACACTACAGAATGATAAAAAGGACGATAACTGGCTAGAGTGCTGGAAGAGCTGTATCATGTGTATAGCAGGCGGATATTTTCCTTTCCCAGTATACATAGCACCAGTTTTATAATCCACTGTTGCTCATACTTAAGTGCCAGAATAAGCATATATTTATCTTCAAACTCCCAGCATTTTCTGACCTTGTAATTTTATCTGGAAGGCTGAGACTAGGAAGAATGAACTCTGCATGACTGCACGCTACTGAAGTCTCCTTCTATAGAAGTTCAGGAGACAACACATAAACCACAGTAGTTTACACAAAAAGTGGTTTAGCAGAAACATAATAGACTCCCTAGAAGCAATCTAGTTCAGGACTCTGAGGACCTGGCCAGAAAGCTTTAGTGTGAGAAGCACCACATATTGCATCAGGGTTTCTTTAGGTTTTTAAATATGGTATCTGTCAGTTAAGTAACCATTTCACCATCCATTTCCAGTAATATACCAACAATTCTCTTAGTTCATTTAGAACAATTAAGGAATTGTATGCACCCCCTATATGGTCTTCCCATATTCTACCTGTTATGGTGGCAAGTCCTACCCAGGGGTCTCAGAATATATCTGGTACTTTGCTCAGGCATCAGTCACTTTTGCAGCCAGATGTTCATTCATTAAAATGTACTGTATCTTTACAAACTCCTTTCTACCTTCTGCAAACAGGACTAGCACAAAGGATATTTAATATACTAAAATATGTGACTTTTTGCTTTGGAACTGTTTTTATTCTGAGACAGGTTTATTAACTAAAGTCTGATCCCTAGTGGTCATAAAGCAACATTACAAGCCACCACTTTGTAGCTGTTTTCTTTGTCTTTCTTCCCCCACAGATAACTTCCAGAGTAATTTAAGGTAGCATAACAAAGCAAGGACCATTCTGCCAAACTGGACAGCCAAATTTAGCCGTCCAAACCCTCTATAAAAACAGGCATTTAGAATGGATATCTATTTCTTCACCTTTATCTGTACACCCATCTTTTGAAAAAAGAGGCAACCTTCTCCTTAACTCACTAGCTTTTTAAAGCTCAGTATAGTATTTATTTAAATATAAGACAAAGCTTTTTCCCCCCAAACAACATGGTGGGGAAAAAGTCCCTCACCTTACTTTCACATACAAGGAAACCTCACTAAAAACATTGTCTATTATTAAACTGTTGTGAAAAACAGCACATCCTCAGTAATTGAAAACCACTATTAAGCCAATTAAAAGTTGCCAACAATGGCGGCATCTACACAAGACACTATGTCATCATAGCGATGAGCTACAGCAACATAGCTCATTGCTATGGTGATGTAGCATCAGTGGGCACACTGTGATGCCAACGCCACCATGCAGTAGCTCGTTGTTTGGCTGTTACTGTGCAATCATTTAGTACTTGCTAAAGGTATTAAAAGAAGTACTAAATGACTGCTCAGTAACAACTGCGCAGTCAGGTACACATACAGACGCACCAACTGAGCATATAAAGCACATGAGCCATATTAGGCAACTATACATATAAGAACCTTTTTTTTTTTCGGCCCTTAAAGAAACAGGCAGTTGTCCCCCAAGGAAGGAATGAGCACCAGGCCTGGAGGTACTACAATACCAGGCTGGCACTCAGAGAGGCCAGAGCAAGATCCAATGCCCTGCCTGGTGCCAAAAATACTAATGAAAACCATTTTTGTTGGGGGGTTTTTGGTATGTGACCCTTAAAAAAACAAAGGAGGGTGTTCCCTCCACAGGGAACTGGAACCAGGCCTTAAGGTATGAGGGCCAGAGCCAGTCCTGTCATCCTCCCCGTGGTGCCAAAAATGAGCTAGAACCAGGCCTGAAGGTACTGCAATACCACACCAGCACACCTGGAGGGCCAGAGCCAGTCCTGACATCCTCCCCATGGTGCCAAAAATGTTTAAGTTCAAGATGACAAACTTCAAGGCATAAGGAAATACAGAGGTCACAAGCAAGGGGCTTCATAGTAGAGGGTGGGGGTAGAGGTGTGAGCGCAACTAAGTTACATAAGAAACATGCAGCCAACTAAGCCCAGGAGCAAGGGGGTGGGAAGAGGGGAAGGGGCACAAGACTTATATACCAAAGTATAGATGGGAGACCCCACAACAATACCACATTAGGGTAGGGAGATGGTTTGCAGTCAGAGACACAATTACAAATAGTACATGCAAGATACAATTATAGGTGTAGGAAAGAGTCCAGAATTTAAGAAGTCCTTAGGGTCCTTTAGTTGTAGCAGCAGTGGGCAGCCAGGTGGTCCCCTCTGCATCGCTTCCAGTAAGCGGTTTGGTAGGGTCCACATACTGGCATTGCTCCATGATGTGCTTCACGTAGATGTCCCTGGAACAGCGGATGGTGTTGGGCACTATCAGGCACTGCATCAAGGGAAGTTTAGGTTAGATATTAGGAAAAACTTATTCACTAGGAGGGTAGTAAAACACTGAAACAGGTTACCCAGAGAGGTTGTGAAATCTCCATCCTTGGAGGCTTTTAAGACCCAGCTAGACAAAGCCTTGACTGGGTTGAGATAGTTGGGGATGGTCCTGCTTTGAACAGGGGTTAGACTAGATGACCTCCTGAGGTCCCTTCCAACCCTAATTTTCTATGATTCTATGATCAGCTTGGTGTAGCAATGGGATACGCAGCAAGTGTACAGGATGCTCTCATTGCTGGAGTCCCAGGCTCTGAGTGCCCCAACAATTAGTGCCTCAACCTTCACGTCATATCTCTGGCTCCTCAGGACATCTGCCAGCTACTGGTACTTCTCTCATTTCCTTTTTTGGGCCTTGAAGAAGGCTCACCACTGGTTCTTGAAGGGGATGGTGACATTTACTGTCACGATGTGCTTGCTATCCTCATCTGTCATAATGATGGCCAGGCCAGGATGACCTTGGCCAGTCAGTCCTGGAAGGTGTTGTGGTGCAGCTGCCATGCTGTGGCATGGGGCTTGCAGGCACATAGCATGTGCGGGAGTGTCTCTGCCTTAGAGCCACAGCATCAGCACCTCTTGTTGCAGTTTCCATATCAAACAGTGCCACTAAGCAGTAGACAGTTAAGGCAGGCATGGTGGATGAAGCGCCAGTCCATGAACCATGTGAAGCTCCCATGGGGCATGACATGGTTGCTGGCATCCCACTTTGAAGTGAGTTTGAAGACTTTGCCCTGGTCCAGTTTCACCCTCAAGTCAGGTACTTAGCTCAGATTACATCCTTCAGGAACCATTGCAGGAGGGTCCTCATGCAGTTGTGGGGGGGGGGTCCGTGGGGGGGGGGGGGGGGGGGGGGGGGTGTCACACTCCTCGGTCTAGGTCCAGGTGCAGCTAGATTTGATCTTAGCCAAAAAGGCTGAGATGCAGATGGAAACCTATCACAAGGATAGGTTACTACAACCAAATTAAATAAAATAAATGGTAGTGCCCATTGCACTCAGTCCACCTCAGCACTGATTCTTTTTCAAGTCATAGTTAGCCACTATACTGAACACATTTTGATTTCCTCTTCACTCCTATAGCTGAGCTGCACCTTTCTTTCCCATTTCCAGTGAGTCCTGTTTTTTAACCAACCTTAAATGTCTGGCAAGCATCACCGAATGGAGCCCCAAACAACCCAGAATCCCTCTGTCACCCCCTCTCTCAGTCTGTCTCATATGATTAATGTGGCTCCATCCTCCATGAGATGGAATCAGACCAGGTTGACATATGCCAATAAAGTTCATAATAAATCTTTCCTCTAGTCCCTTTGGTGTGAGTCCATATAGTACCATTTCCTGTGCTAACAACAGGTTTATTTTGGTGACATTCAGAAAGCAGTGGACCCTTTCCCACATCCCTTTTGCATATGTACGCTCCCAAAACACATGCCCCCACCCCCCCCGCCTCCCATTTCTTCTTCCCTGCACCTTTCCCTTGTGCACATTTGTCGAGGATAGGTGCTGTAAGGCTTTGGTCCTCGATGCATTGATGTCTTCCCTGTTTTTAGTGAGCCAGGAGGTGTAGCAGCTATCTCCGTCAGCCTTTCCTCAATGTTCTGTTCTCGCCTGCCACGTCTTTGATGTTTCTTAAGATTATTATTGGGAGGATGGTTCTCAGTGGAAAAATCACCTTGTGCTCTTGGCTGGGCCAATTAATGGGCTCCTTCCTCCCCTTCACCCCAAGCTAACCACACCTTAGTTCTTGAATCTGACTTAGCAACTGGTGTAACTATCTTCTCCTGACCAGGCTAGTTAAGCCCAGTTCTAACAGTTCTGGATCCTGGTCCTCCTGCTAGCTTTTCTGGGGTCAATCTGGCCCATTCAGGTACAGACCCCAAACACCAACATAAGCTTTCAGTGGAGGTAAGCACAAACACAAAAATAAAGAGGAAAAAAGGAATCCTCCAGAGAAATCAGGAAATAACAGGGGGGAAAAATCATACGCTGTATCTAAGCTTCCAAAGAGCAGTTCTGCTGTGCAAGAGGACTAGTCTCATTGGCTCTTCCCTTTCCCCTTTCCTACCTACTTGCGGGTGAAGGGTTCTGCCCAACCTAACCTTGTCACTCCAGGTTCCAGCCACAGTATCTCTGCTGACAGAGGTCCTCCGGCCCCTTCTACTTGCTATCCAACATCCTGCTCCAGCTCCACTCACTGCAGATGCACATCATGAGGGGAGTTCTTTGGCACCTCTGCTTCCTTGATGCTGAACTCTCCCTGGAGCTTCCCCTTACCGGGGCCGGAAGTACTTTGTGCAGCTCATTCCAGACCAATCCAGAGTGGGTACTCACTCTGGAAGCATGGCATTCTGGGAAGCACACAAGCCTCAGTTCTCTGGTCAGCTGAGGTAAGTACAGGGGAGTTACCTCCCCCTTCCACTCTCTTATTCTGACAAAATTGGTAAGCTTGTCAAGTTCCATCTGTGTTGCACCGCTCTCAGTGGCAAGATATGTTTTACAACCATCCAGGCTAGGTCAGCGTGTTCCCCTTTTAGTTGTTTATCCACCACTGCTCCCCACACCTTCTTCATTTCCCACCTTTCTTCATTTCATCTTCTGTGAAGTTTCCCACCAGCACCATCTTGTCTCTCTCCCTTACCACTTTCATCAATTTCTTATGATCCTTCAGGACCTCCATCCCTACCTTCCCTATTTTATACCTCTGCACAAAACTTTCTGCCTGATGTAATGGATTAGCAGTTGCCACACCCACAGACTCTTCAATGAGGTCTGATACACTTCCCATTTCCACAAAATTGCAGCTGTGTGAAATCAGGTGATATGCACTCCTTTCCCCCTCTCCTTCCATTATCCTTTTGCATACCATGCTTACATAATTTCCATAGAAAAACAATCCCAAGTCCAGCAGGCCCCATCCCCGCATCTATCTTGCTTTGTACAGTTCAGATTTAGCCAACCTTTCTCTTTTAACATTCCAGAAGAACACACATATATTATACTTCTTAATACTTCTAAATATGCTATTTAACTACTTTTGAGTGTACCAAGAGCTCCATAGTATAAATAAAACTGAAACTACATGTATGCAGTTTGTTTCAGAAGATGAAGTGTTAGAGACAAAAAGTCATCAAAGAACAAAAGACAGATGGAGCCTAACAAAAAACAAGGAAGAGCTAGACATGTAAGTTCTTTGGAGAAAGGACTGCAACTTATTGGGCACATCTACACAAGACGCTTACAGCGCAGTAGCCTCATAACACTGCGCAGTAGTGTGTTGGTCAAAAACCATACTAATACACTGCCGCACAGTGTTATTAGGCTACTGTGAAGTAAGCGTCACAAAAAAAGTGTGTGCCAGCACTACTGCGCAGTAACTGTGGTTACTGTGCATTTAGTTAGTGTTTCATTAAGCAAGTACTAAACTAAATGTGCATTAATGAACATGTAGATGCACCCACTATTAGGGGTCTGTGAAACGGGCTCTATTAGATTCGGATTCAGATTCAGCCCAAATCAAGGACAGTGATTCAATTTGTTTATTCGGATCACTGTCCCCAGTTTGATTCAGCCAAATCCAAATCTGAAGATTCAATGTTGATTCAGACATCGACACAGCTTTAAAAGTTTTTTCTACATACCTTGAGGTACCAGCACGAGTCATAAATGCTGCAATGCTGGGGTGCATGGAGCATCCCACAGGAGTTCAGGGGGCCCCTCCACCTGCTCGGCGGCAAACTTGGAAGTGGACCAGAAGTACTTCCGGGCCACTTCCGGGCCCACTGGGGCCCCCCCCCCCCCCCCCCCGGCCCCCTGGGCCCCCCCCCCCCGCACCCCCCCCAGCCTTGGCAATCAGCCATGGGGACTCTGGGTGCCCCCCCGGACCCAGGAGGCATGAGTCGCTGAGCCATGAGGGCATGGGGGGGCCCCTGCATGTTCCCCAGCAGACCCGGAAGTGGACTGGAAGTGCTTCTGGTCCACTTCCAGGTCTGCTGCCAAGCACACTGAGGAGCGCCCCCGTGCTTCTGTGGGACACTCCACACACCCAGCATTGCAGCATTCACGAGCTGCCTGCTACCTGGAGGTATGTAGAAAAAACATTTAAAACTGTGTCTATATCCAAATCTCCAAATCTTTCCAAATCTCTCCGAATCAATTTGGAGAGTTCCGATTTGATTTGGAGAGATTAAAGGGTCTCCTGATTCGATTCAGATTTGGAGATTTGGCCACTGAAGGAATTTGAGACGCTGCAAGAGGCATGTGCATACTTGTCTGGACGCACCCCATGATGGCACGTATGGCCTTCTCAGGATGGTGGAGATGGGGGAAGTCTATTGTGTCTTACAGGCAACTTGCTCTTTGAGTTACAAGCTCAAGTGGGGGTGGTTTCTACAAAGCATGAAATGGTGATTTTTGAATAAGTTGTAATAACTACACATAACCACACGATGGAAGCACAAGACTCAAAACAGGGCACTGGCTGTGTTTTTGTTCCCAAAACCAAGTGCTTGTATGTAACCTGGCTTACAGCTCACACCTAAAAAAGGTCTGGGGGAGAAGAGAAAGCAGGCTCTGATTCAGCCAGTTTCTGTCTCCTCGTGGCCAGTGGGAGGCTGATGATAATATCCTTAACGCATCCTGCTGAGGCTAGCACTGAGCTAAGCTATTCAACTTTTTTATACTGATTCACAACCAGAGTGTTTAAATATGTCTAAGAATCGGAACAAGCTGAAAAAAGGGAGCAAATTACTTTATAAATAGGACTGTGGATGCATGAGAAGGGAAAGGAAAGCTTCAGAGAATAGGAAAGGAGACCATTTGGGGCAGGTGATCTCCAACATAAAGATGGAGAAAAGCCTTCCTTCCATAAAACAGGAGAAACACAAAGCAGTGTAAGTGGAGGAAGGCATTTGCTGCTGACAGGTGTCAGTGTGGGGGAATAGAAGAAGAGCCTGGGGAGAAGAGAAGAAACAGTAATGAAAAGGAAAGGAAAGGGCCTTAGGAAAGCTGAACCACTACAGCATGTGATTTCACTCATGGTGGTAAGTGCCAGTGCAGCAGTCAGCCCTAACCAGGTTCTAACCAGGAACTTCTGGGTTTCCTGTACCAATATGACTAGTAAATACAGTAATTCAGTCTTCTGCAAGACATCCAGCTGAATGAGCCCTTCTACTGGATTCTGAATGGAAACAAAGTCTCTCATGAGGAGTGGTAAAATATAGTTCAGCTCTTTAAATTATGCACTGGAGACAGAGACTCAGAACACTTATAACTCATTCATAGTCTTTGCTGAGGAAGGGGATATAAGTAAGTGCACTCTTGCTCTTAAAATGTTTGGTGAGACCTTCATTTCCCTCCAGAAACAGAAAATACAAACTATTGCTTGGGATAATTTTAAGGCACCCTTTAAAGGCTTTTTGGATATTGGTTTTACTCCTTTTAGGGCACAAGTGCATTAGGGCCACGTCCAATTTGGTAAATGAGGTGCCTAAGCAGGACTTAGGTAGAAATTAGGTCCAAAAAGTTACAGAAAATGATTCAGATTAACCCCACTCTAGTAGCACCAAGCCACTTTGGCATCTGTATTCATTAGACACCTACATTTGACCTATACACAAGCAGTGAGATGCTGTAATAACATGATTAATCAAGTCTGCTGGAGCATGGTAATTACCATGCTCCAGTAGACTCCAGCGTCTTGTGTATCAACACCCCCATGCTTAAAAGTGGCAGCGTCATGTGTATCAGCATCTTGTATATCCAGCGTCCTATGTATCAACACCCCTATCCTTAAAAATGGCAGTGGAGATGCTTTAACTAGAGCTCCCTCGATGAGGGAGGGACTGTGTGTGTTAGGGTGAGTCCCACATGCACCCACACACCCCCTCGCACTACCATACACGCAGACCCCCACACCCACACACCCTACACACTCCAGCCACCCTCCCCCCACACACAGCCCCCAGAAATCTCATACCCACCCACACGCCACATATATACACACACACCCACATGCTCCCTCACCCCACACCCAGACCTTCCACACCTATCTACCCCGACAGACTCACCCACACCCTCCCCCACACTCCAAATACCCACACACGCACAGCCCCCACAAACCTATACCCACCTACCCCCCTCCAGTATACAAAAGTCAGACTTCATTTTAAGCTATTGTGCAATCCCCTCTATTTACGCTACACAAACACATGTAAGCAAGGACAAAAATATATTTTTTAATCAAATTAATGAATGTTTTAGATGTTAGATTTTTAGAATATAATTTGGTATTTTTCTGGTTCTGAGATGGCAAAATGCTTTACTGAAAGGAGTACTTCTGGGGGCAAGGGGAGGGGCTTCTGATGGCAAAGGTCAGGGGTGGGACTTCCAATCACAAGATGGTGACCAGGGAGCAGGGCATCTGTGAAGGGGTGGGGCTATCCATGAGGCCCTCAGCAGCTTGCCAAAATTTGGTAAGCAGCCCTCCACCTGAAATAATTGCCCTCCCCTGCTATGGTCTATCAAGACCCCCAGGTCTCCTTTTGTTGTGGTGCTAGTAAGTGTAGCACTGCCAAGCATGTTGTGGGTTGTTTCTCCCCAGGTGGAGCAACTTACATTCCTCGGTGTTGAACACCATCAGGTTTTGATCCGCCCACCTTGCAAACCTGTCCAGATCAGCCTGTAAGATGGAGCCTAAGCCCGAAGCCTAGTGATTAGGACACTTGCATGGGAAGGGGGAGACCTGGGTAGTGTCCCTGTTTCCAAGGTTATTTCTTTTTTCAACCAATGACTGTCTAAGGTGAAGTACATAAACAATGATGGGAGCAGAGACTCAGAGCAGGGACTAGTCAGGCTTCCTCTTGCTTCTCTTTCTGGGCTCCATGACTTCTGCATTCTTGGCTGCTTATTGGCTTAGGTTCTTCAGTGCCAAGGGGAGAAACGTGTCCTCCCCCCTCCCTAGTCCATAACTTGGTAGTAAGGGCATTCTTCAGGTGGCAAGAGCTGAGTATAAACGCCCTCAGGCAGAAGAAAGCCTAGAACCTAGGTCTCCCACTTCCTGGGGGAGTGGTCTAATTAATCACTTGGTTTATTATATATAGGGGAGCACTAGCACCACTGCCACCAGTCACTCAGGCACCCACCCTCTGGGGCCTCTGAATCTCAAATGAACTTCTGCATAATATTCACTGGTGCGAGGTACCTGAGCTCTGCAGAGGGTCAGGTGCACCCAGATGCCTAATGTCTTCTACCAGCTAGCTCTAGGTGCCACCCTGCTCAGTGTATCGACACGGTTTGCATCACGCCTTGGAGGCCTGGAACTCCTCACTGACATTATGATGTCGGTGTATTGTTAGGTGTGCTGAAACCAAAATAGAGGCATCTGCAAGGCAAATCTGTATCTAGCCTGCTGGCCCCTATATTAGAGCAACAGGACTTCAACAGGATTAGTCTCATTATTTGCATAAACGTAATTATAGTTAACTGTCTGGCAGATCAGGACCTTTGATACTTTCTACTCTCTTGCACTTCTCTGGATACTTTCTGGGCACATTGGATGTACCTTTTGAATCCTTTGTGAAGTTTTCTAACAATATTTGTATAGAAACTGAAGCTATTTTCATGCTTTATGGAAAATCATGGGCCTTGTATATACATTAACAATATATCTATATTTTTACCTTTTAAAGGCACTTCTGAGGACCTGTCTGAGGTTATTGTGGACATTACTTTTACATTTGTAAATGCTTTTTCTTCTTTTTTACAAGACCTCTGGACAAATTTTGCATCCCTCATTCTTTTGAAGCACTTCTTGGGCATTGTTTTGAACAATGTTTCTATACAGTTTAGGACATCTGTGGGGCATATTTCTGAAATCAACTGGATATTGTTTTTATCCCCTTTTTTATTTATTTACACTATTTATTACATTTAACCCTCTTTAATTACTTCTGAAATATTCTTAAAGGATTTTTTAGACCCTCTTATAATAGGGAAGAAAATTGTATAGTTTTTTTTAATAATGTTTCATCCTTTATGAATTATTTTATTTTTACATTATATGGGTCTCTTTCTCTGGGTAATATTAATACATACATTACGATTGATTGTTTTAAAAATATTTTTTACTATTTTTTGACCATTTCAATGCATCTTTAGGCCATTGAGATGTTTTAGGGCATTTTCATCTCTTTAGAAGCCCACTGACTATTTGTAACCCCCTCACCCCCATGAGAACAGATTTTGAAATCCTTCTAACACACACAAAAGGTGTGCTGAAACAGGCCAGGTTGTTCTGAAAAACCGCATGCCACTTGGTGGTACCTGGAGTGTGTGTCACATCTGGCCCAGTCTATTTTCCACTCTTCCACATGCCAGGCACTGGGGACTGTGGTGAAGAAGATGTAGTAGCATCCATGGTTCTGCACCAGTTTGAGATTCCCAGCAGCAGAGAAACTCCAGGTAGAAGACTGTAGGCAGTTTAATATAGGCTTTTTGGATATCAGGTTGTCACGGTTTTAAAATCTAGTATCTTGGGACTTTGCAATGTTAAAAATGTCTCAAAGTAACCAAATGCAAGAAAAAGATCCAGAAAGTGATAAAAAGAAGAGAAGACGCTTAAAGGAGGTGAACAGATTAAAGAAGAACACTTCTAAAAAGTTCACAAAGAGTCAAAAAAAGAAATATGCTTACAACATGATCAGTCTGTGCCCAGGATCTTTGTGTGCGATTTTATCTAGTCGGCCGCTTTTGCGGGAGATCCCTACTCCAGGTGCCTTGCTTCATGCAGACAGGCAGTCTAAGAGAGGGTAAAATAATTTTTGAGCGGTCGGTGGGAGATTTGCTTCCTTCTCAGTGAGCTATGTGTAGCTAAACCCATGTATCAAAGTCATCTAGCACAAGGACTGAGTGGAATGTTCTTAAAACTGTCTTCCAAATTGAAATAAAATACACAAAATGCAGGAAGATGCAGCGTGGGGTTAAGATGATGTTAATGCTGATTTGGAACAAATTGTGTCCCACCTTCAGGGCTTCACCACTCCTGAAGAAACGTGGCCAAAAATGCAACCATCCCATTCTCAGTATCCGTTTGCACGATTTCCCATACCCAAGGTCACAAATGCACACTTGCAGCACAGACCTTTCCTGGCAATAACAATCCTCAGACCCTGTCAGCCTTCTGCAAGCACTTCACATACTGCTGATGGGGCTTGTTTTTATGCGTGTGCCTTTGCATTTAAGATGCATGGGAATGTTTTCATCTTTGTTTCAGAGAACATCACACCCTGAAACACTGTGATATGGCTTAGAAATCTAGCGTTCCTGTTTATATCATGTGAGTTTCACGCTGCTATCAAACAGCTTTGAACATCAGGCAAAAAATCGGAGGTGATAACAATGGTGTGTGAAACATTCCAATTAAGAAGAAAGCTTAAAAAATAACTTTGATTTTTTTTTTCACTGGAAAAATATTTCTCTCTCTATTGCTTTTCTCATGGCCTCTTTCACCTCTTTGTTTCTCAAGCTGTAAATCAAAGGATTCAGCATGGGAATGAAGATCGTATAGCACAAAGAGTCCAACATATTGTGATCCAGGGAGTAGCTGGAATGTGGTTGTATGTACACAAACAGTGAACCATAGAATAAGGAGACAGAGAGCAGGTGGGAGGTGCAGGTGGAGAAGGCTTTGCGTCTCCCCTCTGCTGAATTCATTTGCAAAATGGTGGACAGGATGTAAACATAAGACAGCAAGACAATCAGAAAAGTGAAGATCTGAATTGGGCCAGAGACTATAAAAATTATCAGTTCATTTACAAAAGTGTCAGTGCAGGAGAGTTGTAACAGTGGTGGGAGGTCACAAAAGAAATGACTAATTACATTGGACCTGTAGAAAGATAATCTAAGTATACCAATCATATGCAAAATGCCATGGAAGAAGCCACCAATATATGATGCAATCACTAACTGCATACAGACCCTGGTAGATATAACAGCTCTATAAAGCAAAGGGTTACATATCGCAATGTATCGGTCATATGCCATTACTGCAAGAAGGAAGCACTCTACAGTGGCAGAAACACCAAAGCAGAACAACTGTGTTATGCATCCAGAGAAAGAAATGCCTTTCTTTCCTGCTACAAAATTGAGCAACATCTTGGGGATGATGGAGGAGGAACAGCAGGTGTCCATGAGGGATAAGTTACCGAGGAAAAAGTACATTGGGGAGTGAAGGCGAGAATCGATCCAAATTAACACCACCATGCTGAGATTCCCCACTAAGGTTATGCAGTAGATCATAGAAAGCACCACGAACAGGATAGGCTGCAACTCTGGGTCATCCGTAAATCCTAAGAGAAGAAATTCTGTCATCCTGGTGCAGTTGCCCTTTGCCATTTGTTCACTGTGTGTTATCTGTCAAAATAAGAGTGTGGGCAAACATTATTATTGGCAAACCACAGTCACCAGGCATGAATCTCTTTTATGGGTAGTCATCCTATCCTGGCCACTGAGCGTTGTTGTTCTTCCACAGACAGGAGCCCACAGATACCCTGAGCTGCCTGAAAATAAATTGGTTTTAATGAAGATTTTTTCAGTGCTCAGCTCGGATCCTTCTAGCCACATAAAATGATTAGTGTGCAGAAGCCAGACATTTCAAGTCAGGGTGTGTAAAGTTAGATTCCTGAATCTATGGCCTGACTTATAGAAGCAGCAGACACACACCACTCCAGTTGACATCTGAAGGAGCTGAAGACACCTTTGGAAATCAGGCTATTTCTATCTAGGTGGCCAAATATGAATCTAGGAGTTTAATTTGAAACCACATGTGAAAATAGTTTCCCTGAGTCACTCATGATTGCAATGTACTAATATTGTACTTTCTATAAAGACTAACCATAGGCATTTCACCTTAATTGACCATATTAGTTGTAGCAAACCCATCTGCAGCAGAGATGCATGACTAGCCATTAATCAGATTGTTTCCTTTCTGCCATCTGCAGACTAGTTGGTGTTTGACAGGCAGAACTGTCTGAAAATCTGTTTTCTGTCCTGTAGCATTAAACAAACAAAGTCCCAATTATTCAAGATATTTATAGTGGAAATCTAAGGCAGACATTCATTGTTTCTTGTCAGTGAAGTTTCTACCCTGTAGGTGTCTGTTCCCTGATAACATGATGTGTTGATCCCACATATACAATTTAAAGTTCCTACTTTTTTCTCCATATATAAGTAATGCAAATGTTGGAACATTGAGACAGGCTGTATCAGTAGTGAAATAAATATGCTTGCATGTTAAGGAATGTATTCACTGACTTAATGGTGTTCTGATACCGCAGTGATGGATGCAGTATGAGAACCTAGCTAGACAGCAAGTAGGATTAGAAATACCAAGCAAGATCACTTGGAATCCACCTCAAAGTGGCTCCATAAGCAGACTGAAAAGCAGTCAAGAGCAGTGGTACTTGACCCCTCTGGTTTCACGGGCCAAATGAAAAGTGTAGGGCCAGTTGGTGGAACTGATGCAGCACAGGGTTGTCCATGCATTCAATCTGGTGTGCTGGCATGACTGACCCCACTCTCTGAATCCAGTAGTGGTGTAACCTGTGCTCTGGATACAGCTGTGCCACAACCCGACACAGCGGCTGGACTCCATGCACCAAATCTGGCCACAGTGTAACCCCATAAGCTAACTTGACCCCTTGCATGGGGTCCAGCCTTGAGGTGACCCTGCACACTGGCCTAACCCCACACGCTGGATCCAGGTGCAGAAAGTCTTCATGCCAGCATGATCTGGTGTGTAGGACCATATTACATCACTATGCTGTGTAGGACCATATCACCTGGATCTGGGGCTCCCCACAAACCCAGAAATGTGGCAGGGGTGGGGGGGGAGGGGGGTGGCGATGTTGTTAATCACCATGATGCTAGGATGACATAGCCAGAGGTTGAGCACCATTGGTTCATACTTTGAAAATCCTACCTTTGATTCTCCCCAGTAGAAATCCTTCTTCACTGTCTCCCCTCAGGACAATGTCAAATCCTTTTAAAAGGAAGTGTTTTTCAAGTTACCTTCCTTTGTTGAAAAAGGACAAAGCCATTCCATGCCTTTCAAAGAGAAAGAGAAAAACAGAAGAAAGAAAGCTATTCTTTAACTTGGCATCATCTGCCTAAAGCAGCAAGTGAGGAAGAGAAACTGAAAAGGTTACAACTGCCGACTAACCTGAATGAGTGTTTAAAAGCATGAGAGTTGTTCTTATTGGCTTTGTTGTCACTGCAGAAAAGGTGCGTTTTTCAACCAGAATAGCTATCTGAGTGTAAAATCCGAGTAGAGGCAAGGGACAAGACACTTTTGCTGTCACAGGCAGCTGAAATCAACTCCTGGAAGGGAGCACTGTGTTGTTTTTTACGAGTACACTGAGATAAAGCCTACCTGTGTTTTGTCTCCACTCTGGTATCTCAGTGTAAAAGTACAAATTTTTGGCAATAAAGACAAAGTAATGGTCACCAATTCAAAAATTCCAGATGAATAAAGTGATTGTGAGTGATGAAAATCAGTTTTCTCCTCACTGGTGAGAGAGGGAGGACTTTATAACATACTGAAAATCCCACCTCCTATTTTGGTCACCTCTTCTGACTTAGCAGCAAGAACAACAGGGTACCATGCCATAATATATAGCCTGTCAGCAGGCCTTGCAGTGCTGTATAAACCAAATCCGTACATGCAAAACTCCGTGCACACAGATTCTCAGCGCCCATCTAGCTAGTACATTGAACCTATTCCTATCACTCCCTAGAGAATGAAGTTGTTGTTAATAATAATAACCATAATGATACTAAAATCAGCAGCAACAACAATAATAATAATCTATCTTTATTTTTATTATTTTACAGTAGTTCCTAAAGACTCCTGTAAGTTATTGGGTCCCATTGTGCTAGGCATCACAGACACAGAACAAAAAGAGTCTCTGACCTAAAGATTTTACAGTCTACACTGCAGATGCAGAAGCTACTGTAGGGCAGTGTAGGGTTTCATAAGCTGGTTTTAACTTAGTACGGGTAGCAGTGGCTGTCCAGCCATGGCAACATGGAGCTCAGCACAGTGTAATTTACCCTACCGAGTCACTTCCATGACAGTACTATACCCTAAGTACAGTATTGATTACTCCCCGGAACAGATCATGGTGTCTACAAAAGAACAACTAATTCCTCCTTTCCCATTTGTATCCTGCCGACACCGTCTTTAGAGAAAAGGACCCTGTAAGAAAGCAAGTCGTGCAATTCTTTCGTTCATTGTTCCAAGAAAGAGATGGCTGAAGTCAGCAGACAACGGTCAGGGAGAAAATTCAATTTCCTTTTCTTTAATACCTGACCAGTGGGATGAATCAGTCCCATTGAAAACATTAATTTGACTTTTATGTGCTGCCCAGCCGTACATATAATGATTTCTCAGTCCTATTGGGGTGATATGTCAATAGTAATATTATGATCTCTAAATGTTAGCCTGTCAGTAAAAAACAATACATTGAAAATGTGACTTATTTACCAGACTCCGGCTATGTTTGAGTGACATGAATCTCATTAGGGATAAATAGTATTTCTGTCTATATCACTGCAAATTTTAGTGGAGAGGGAGAATTACAGCAGGATTATTTTATAGTTAGCCAAAAACACACAAGCAAATTTTTCCCTAAACAGGATCTTTCACATTTCTGAGCAGTAAAACCATATGCTTCCTTCTTGCTAATTTCAGTGCTCCTTTGGAATTTTCTCATTTCTATCAATGGTACAAATGGTTTATCAGGTGGAGTTAGGGGTTTAATCTTCAAAAATACCTTGTACCAACTTTTGAAGTAATTTTCAAATGGACTGACATCTGCTTACGTTCTACTGTTACTTTCATTCAGCAGTCATTACATGAAGACTTGGAAAACAGTCAGAAGTCACCTTTTGAAACTAAATGGTTTTACCATGTGATTTAAGATGCTAAAATAAAGAGTCAGAATAGCAAGAATTTCCCTGATTTTACCTGGTTCCAGTTTGAAAGATTCAGTGGAAATTAATTGCACGTTCAGGGCCAGGTGTTCAGCGATTCAGGGTGGTCACAAACCATGAGGAAGCCTCTCAGAAGCTCAGCTTCTCCTGATGGTTAAATCTATCAACTGGGAGATCAAGGAAGGTAGAAAGACAATATTTATTTCAAAATCTGCCCAAACTTAGGTTCTTTGGAGCCAGGGCCCAGTTTCTTCTCCAACTCCAAGAGATTCCCTTTCAGCTGACAGTGGAGTATTTCTAATAAGTACCCTGAACTTGGGACACAATTCCCTGGAGTTTCTCAAGCTCCAGGGTCCCACAGAGTCCCAGAAGTGGCAATTACAATTTCTCTTCACATCTTCTGGGTCCAGTGTTTATTTATACACACAAAAATTTGGAAATGTACTAAGAGATGTTTTCCTGCATCTTCCCTGCAGGAATTGCAGTGATTAGAAGTCAATGTGGAGATCCATTCTATTTCTGTATTTTATGACATAATTGTTTCTCAGTGTTGGGTTTTAACTCTGAATTTTCTGTTCTGTTCATGTAACTTTTAATTAGGTGTATATGTATGTACTATACTTTCTTATAAAATAAGGTCTACCAAGTATGGTAAGGTCTACCTATCTCAGCTTGTTTCGGTATCTCCGAGAATTTTTTCCCCCTCTTTCACCAAATGCTTAATCTTATATCTCTAAGGATAAAGTTTCTGCTTGCTTCTGCCTTGAACAACATCTTTCCCTTCATCACTGACTGTCCCAATAAATGCTATTAGATTCAAAGATCTCAAATAAAGCCAGACTTATTTATTAGTTAAAATGTTTTTAAATTTCTAATTAAATCACTATATAGAGCTGTGACAGGTTCTGCAAATCTTAAAAGTGAAAACTTACATGTGCCATATTCAGTAAATGTTAATATAAATCTTTCTGTACCAAATGTCGTCATAATCTTATTGGCCAACTAAGCACTTAGAGTGACCCCAAGTACAACATTAATATCTTCTGATCTTCAACTCTCTCTCTACCAAGCCTGGCGGGGAAGATAGACTTTGCATACCATGCAGAATCCTTTGAAAATGCCATGCAATCATCCACTCCCACTGAAATTCTAGACAGTCTTGGTTACGCAACTTCAGCAATCACAACTATGGAAGTAGCATATATTTAAGGGGGGTGGGTAGGAACAGAGGGAGACAGATCCCAAACTATTTGGGGCTTTAACAGGTCAAATAGAGCACTGTAAGCCACTTGGAAGCCAGTAGTTAACCTATGAAAATTATGAAGTACAAGTTTAATGTAGAGGTGCACCGATACATCAGTCCAATATCACATCAGCACTGATATAAAGAAAATTGTCTGTAT